GAGAGAGAGAGAGAGAGAGAGAGAGAGAGAGAGAGAGAGAGAGAGAGAAAGAGAAAGAGAAAGCTATTTCCTTGTTGGGTACAATGATAGAGGAAGGATCTAATCTGTAAAAATGGCACAGTTTTAGGGGCTCTGAGGGTACAGTCCCTTAACCTGCCTCTGGGGGGGGGGTGTTCCCCAAACTCTCCCCCCCCAACACACCAGGTTTTCTGTGTGGAGGAGAACCAAGGAGATCTAAACTGTGGTGTGAAAGGGTAGGAGAGATGCTGGGGGTGGGGGTGCTTGTGTTTTAGACCCCCAATATTATCCCAGTGTCCCCTGCCTTCCTTCTTCCCCTGCCCCATGCCCCCAATTCTGTGGCGCATCCAGATTGTGAAAATGTACAATAAACGTGTAATGAGTAACCAGGTGGTGTCCAAAATCTTTTTCTTAATCAGTAATAAGGGTATTGGATTTTCAGGTATGGGGTGGTTGAAAGATTCTTTGGGAAGAGCTGGCTGGCCTGTTGCGGGAGGCTCTGACCTTGGGCCCTTGCAAAGTGTAATTCCCGAAGCGGCCACATGGGGCACTAGCAGATGAGAATCGGAAGTAATCACTAAATTACCTGGTGTCTAAGCCAGGTGAATTCTGCATCTGGGGTTACCAGCCTCACACTCCTGGCCTGGAGTGTGCTGCTACCACAGAACTCCTTTATCTCCTAAATTTCACTTCAAGCTACCCCTTTGGCTATCTCATAGCCATGTACTCCGAACATCCAGATGGGCTAATGAATACTCGAAAGGACCAGCTTGATGGTACAGTGCTGACTGTGGCATAAAGCTAGCTATAAAAGGCACACTACCCTTGCACTGTGTTGTATGACTGGTACATCCCTAACCCCATTACTTCAGGAACATCATTGAGATGTAGCTATATAGGAAATAGGTAGAGTTTCTGGTTGCCCTCTGTATTCAGGGCATGAGGGACTAGACACTGCCAGTGAGTGGGGTACTTGCTGGGTCATGGTGATCCTTGCCTCTCCAGGGCAGTTGAATAGAGAAATTGGGGTGGGAGGACTGACTAAGAACCATCGGAGGGCCAGGTGTGGTGCAGGCCTTCAATCCAAGCATATAGGAGGCAGAGGCAGGCTGATTTCTTGACTGTGAAGCTAGCCTTACTAATGGTGTACTTAATGAGACCCTGTCTAAAAAAATAAATTAAAAAAAATTTTTTTTGAGACAGAATTTCACTGTGTAGCTCTGGCTGTCCTGGAACTCACTGTGTAGATCAGGCCTCAAATACTCAACTGTCTGTCAAGTGCTGGGATTAAAGATGTGTATCATATCTAGTCAAGAAATAAGAGGGCCATGCCAGGCGGTGGTGGCGCACGCCTTTAATCCCAGCACTTGGGAGGCAGGCGGATTTCTGAGTTCGAGGCCAGCCTGGTCTACAGAGTGAGTTCCAGGACAGCCAGGGCTACACAGAGGAAACCCTGTCTCGAAAAACCAAAAAAAAAAAAAAAAAAAAAAAAGAGAGAGAGAGAGAGAGAGAGCGCCAGGCATGGTGATGCACACTTATAAGCCTGGTACTTGGGAGGCAGTGGCAGGTGGATCTCTGTGAGTTCAAGGCCAGGACATCCAGGGCTATGTTATATAGAGGAATCCTGTTTTGAAAAGCCAGAAAAATAACAACAAACTATTAGAAGTACTTTTTAAAATAGATTTTTCAGAGTCGGGCACTAGGGAGACAGGCAGGTGGATTGGCGATCTCCAGGTTTGGGGCAGCCAGGTCTACAGAGTGAGTTCCAGGACAGCCAGAGCAATACAGAGAAACCTATCTGGGACTCCCCATCCCCCTAAAAAGTGTGTGTGCACTATTTTTAGGCCTTTCCGTTGGAGATTATTTCAGTGGTTCTAAAGTGCTGAGGTGTTTCTGTCTATCCTAACGTCTACCTGTATGAAGAGTTTAAATAAGGTTATTTGCATTTAATTCTTGGAATTAGTTCTAGGTTTAATGTTTCCATAGGCCCTATGATACCAAGCTACCTTCTATGGTGTCAGGGACCTGGGTTCAGATTTTAGCTTTTTTATCAATACACATGGTTTAATTCCAACAGATTATGTAACCTCTGGATCTCAGTTTCTTTTGTGAGGTTATGGGTAGTGAGCCGGCCTTCTTGGAGTCTGCAAGAAGCGGCTGGGCTGGCCAGGTCCATAGAAAATAAATAGGAGGCGACTGTCATTTCACCATCATTGTCAGGCTATCTAATGACATCTTCAGTGTAGTGCTCAGATTTTTAAGGTTTGGGGATCATTTAAAGACACAAAGCTTGGGCGTCAGGAGTCTCCTGTAATGCCAGAATCTCTACAAAGTATCCCCACTACGCCATAGCCTGTCAGATCTACGCCTGGGTACAAGTTGCTCTGCACGCCTGCGCAGACTCCGCAGTCTTGGGTAAGTGTCGTCAAGGAAAATCCCCAGCTTCTGGGTAAACAAGTTGCCGCGTGAGCCAGCCTGCACGTGTTCCCTACAGCTCTGAGACCTCTCAGCCTATGAGAAAGTTTTTAGGGCAGGGCTGGCATTTGCGTCACCGATTTAAGTAGGGCGGGGTTGTCTCCACAGCCAATAAAAGCCTTGAGAGTGGGTGGGGGTGTGGCTTCCGGTCAGATGTCCAATCAACGCGCTGGGGCGCCCCCTCCCTCACGTGGCTCTATCACTACCGGTTGTCATATTGTCCAATGGGACAATAACTGCGGTCTGAAATGCCAATGGTAGCTTTGCAAGGGCTTGCCTGCTGCACGCGGAGCGGGGCATGGGTTGGCGTCTCTGAGCCAATAAGCTAGGGAGGCGTGACAACGGGCGGTGGGAGGGCCTGGAGGAGCCTGTGGAGGAGCCCCAGTAGTGAAGAAATTTGGATTCTACGTGCGCTCGGAACTGTGAGTAGCCCCTTTCTCCGGGGCTGTTCAACTTGTTTTTTTCGGGGAGGTGCGGTCGGCCAAAAGAGGTGTCAGTGGCGTGGTGTGTGTTTGGGATCATGCAAATGCGTGTTAGCTGCAGAACGGTTGTGGAGAAAGGGACCACAAACTCAGGTCTAGGGGGACATGAATGAGAGTTACCAGCATCAGACCTCTCACTACTCTAGGATCCCTGTACACTAATGCCTATCGCAGGGTGATCAGAAGCCCTCAGCTATCCGAGGGAGCCGAAGCGCCTGCGATACGACCTCTGAGAGCTGGTTATGGTTTGGGTAGGCTCCCTAAACACTTGGAAGACGCAGAAATCTTGAGGCCAGAGAAATGCTCTGGTAGGGCGAGCAGGATGGTGATCTGAGAAAGGCTGGCGTGTTGATTTGACCGAAAGGGTGTCTCATCACGAATATAGGTTTTTTGTATTTTGTTTTGTTTTTGTTTTTTGTTTTTCAAGAGAAAAGGGTAGTATCGTGGCCTCAGGGACATACTTGGAAATAGGAAGGGGTTAGTAATTTGTTGGATTTTGAAAGGGAGGATAGGGTAGAGGGTTTCTATACACTGGCCTGTCCACTCTTCTTAAGCTGCTAAAGGTGAGGAGTTACCAAAAGATTGCTCTGGTGTCTAGACAGTCGGGCATGGGGTGAGGTCGGAGAGGGAGGAAGTGAGATTCTTAAGAAAGCACTGTGCCTGGAGGCTTCTCGGATGATCTCGGGTTTTGAGCATAGAACAAAATGAACCATGATGGTGTGCGTGGAGCACAAACAATGCTCTGAGATCAGGCTAAGAGGGGAGAAGGACAGGGGATTGGATACAGCCTGTGTTCTAGGCACCAAGCTCAGAACCAGGGGAATACGTCCCCAGCAGTCC